GTGCTACTGAAGCCATCTGTTCCACTAGGAGCCCAAGCGACAAATAATAATAATAATAGTGTTGATGTATAAAGAAGTGTATAGGAGATTTTACGCAGAATTTTCAACAATGTTGACTGGGATTAAGGTGGCATTTAACTCTACAAACTCACTCAGAAAGTACATCAAAACAATCTATCTCTCCTCTTAACTACATTGAACTGAAGTACAGTAGCTTTATCCCACTCTATTATGTGGTTGTGTGATAATGCATGCACTGCAATAACCAAGTTACTTTCTACATTATTCATCTTATTCGGGTCTGTCATTCTATGTTTAGCTAAATTCCTATCTTCAGCTATTTTAACTGACGCCGACCAGCTAGTTTGACCTATGTACTTGACCTGACTCACAGTGATTACATGGAATTTAATAAATTAGATTATTTTGCTTAATTGGTTCTATCGGATCCTTAGGCTGACAAAAATGATATCCGAGTGAGTTTGTAGGTGTGAGCGCCACCCTAATTCCAGCTTTGTTGGGAATCCTACATAAAGTTTCGGATGTACCTTCCTTGTAAGGTAACACAATGGAGGCTGTGAACTCCTTTCTACTCGTGTTGTCGTTAATATTCCTACTCATGTTACTGTTATTATTTCTTTACTTATGTATTCTTATGAATTTTTCAGTAAAGTTTAGAGAATAATTACTAAACATTACTGCAGGACCAGATGGAATCCCGCCAGAAGCACTGAAAACAGACGCAGAGACAACAGCAGACATGCTCACACCACACCACTATTGCAGAATGTCTAGAAGGAAGAAAGAAAAGGTACCTGCTGATCGATTGGAAGAAGGGCCACCTTGTCAAACTCCTAAAGAAGGGAGACCTCAGTGTTTGCGAGAACTGGCGCGGAATCACGTTCCTGTCCACCTCAGACAAAATATTATGCCGCATCATTCTGGAGAGACTAAAGGATGCACTGGATTCAAAACTACGACCGGAACAGGCAGGCTGGATTCATGAAGTACAAATCATGTGCAGACCGAATTGCAACGCTACGCTATGCATCATCACAGAACAGAGTATAGTAAGGTATTCAACTCAACTTCATCGACTTCGAAAAGGCCTTCAACAGAGTCGACAGAGGAGAAATTTGCCAGGCAGTTGCCTCAACACTACGGAGTGCCACAAACCTTTATCAACCTCATTCAACAACTATATGAGAGCGCCACATGACAAGTATTTCACAATGGGAAGCTCAGTGATGCCTTCGAAGTGAAGTGAAGACAGGAGTGAAACAAGGCTATCTACTATCACCGGTCATCTTCCTGATTATGGTCAACTGGAACATGCAACAGATCGTGAGGAGCGAGAAGAGGGGTATACGCTGACTGGACCGATAAAAATATCCTAGAGGATTTGGATTTCACTGATGACTTATGTCTAATGTTGCACAGACTTGAATATCTACAGGGAGAAACCAACAAGTTAAGAGAAGAGGTAGGGCGGGGCAGGGCAGGGCAAGGCAGCGAAGGCGGGACTTCAAGCGAACGTGGGGAAGACAGATGTGCTGAAGATACCCAACCAACAACCAACAGTAACAACAATCACCAATCACCAGCACGGGGAGAAACTTAAAGGAAGTAGTATCTTTTACCTACCTAGGAAGCACTGTTTCAACTACAGGCGGCACAGACAGTTGAGAACGTCAAAGCCGGCCAAGATAGGAAGAACAGCATGACAGGCGTTCGTTAACCTGAAACCACTGTGGAGATCTACTGCACTCAGCATAGAGCGTAAAAAATATCCGGATTTTCAACACCAATGTCAGTCAAGTCAGTGCTTCTATGTGTTGGTTGAGAGACTTTTCGCGTTACGAAAGGCATTTCCAACAAACTGCAGACATCCATCAACAGCTGCCTACCCTGGCTCTATGCTGAAGATCGGATGACCAGAATAACAACGAACCAACCAAGAAACTATCGCTCAAGAAATATGCTCTGGAAGGAAGTGGAGATGCATTGGGTTGAGCATACACTGAGAAGGCCTACTGGGGACATCACGCGCCAGGCCAGGCCCTCGAATGGAACCCCGATGGGGAGCGACGAGTTGGGCGTCTGAAGTGAGGGTGACATGAAAGAGATGGTATGAGGAGGAAATGAGAGCTTGTGGGCTATCGTGGAGCCAGGTTCAAAAGTTTGTAGAGAAGAGAGTGTAATGGAGACGTGCTACTGAAGCCCTGTGTTCCACCAGGAACCCAGGGGACAAATAATAGTATAATAATCTTGATTTGTACTGGATGATGATTGAAGGTGAGATGCAAATCCGGCCGTGGTCTAGACTTTCATCTCACCTTCAATCATCACTCAGTATAAATACTAGTCTGTCAAACCACGGCTATCTAAGATAGTCAAATGATAATCTTGATTTTGTGCTGTTGTGTCGTAATCCCTTGCAATGATTGCCAGGTCAAATACATAGGTCAAAGTAATCGACCAGGGCCAATTAGGCTATCCAAATAAAAAAGCTTAGCTAAATCAAAATTGACAGTTCCTAGTAAGATAAGAAATTACGAAAAAAGCTCAGCTATAGCTCTGCACACCATTACACACAATCACACAATAGGGTGGAACAGAGCGACAGTATTAAAGACGAACAACTTGGTTGTATGGAGGGAGGAAGAGATTGATAACCGACTGAATCTTTTGTTTAGTAATGATGGGCAGTGGCTAGCAGTGGAATCCAGGATGCTCATTTCGTCCTATTCGGGACTCGTCAGCTGGATGTTGTCAACACTGGGACTCGGGACAGACCGCTTCCAACGCCAGAGCGTTATCCACTACACCACCGAGCCAAAGGTAGCCACTTCTTGAGCGACGGGTATAGTTTTAGTGTTATTACTTGTATTACATCGTCATTGACTGGACCGAATTGACCAGTCTTGTACTAAATAGGACGAAATGCGCATCCTGGATTCCATTGCTAGCCACTGCCAATCATTACTATACATGATTAAAACACAGGCAATATTGAGGCATGAGCACAGGAGCTCATATGTCAACAGAGGCTAATCAATTCGGTCCAGTCAACAACGGTGTAATACAAGCAATAACACTAACAACTGAATCTTTGTTTATCGAATCAACAACAAATACATACAGTAATCGAAATGATTCTTCACCTGCCCAACAAATATGAAAAATTCTTCTACCCCGGTCATCATGTAGAAGGAGAGAAAATTAGGACTATATGAAGGACGTCTTAAAGTTGTCTTCGAAAGTTACGTAATCCAGTAAATTATACTGTTTCTTCATTGTGTGGCATTTTTAATAAATAGACTAAAATTGGTGTTATTGCTTGTATTAATTACACTGTAGTTGATTGGATCAAATTGATCAGCCTCCGTTGGCATCTGGACTGCTATACGGATGCCTCGATATTGCCTGGGAACAGCATCACTCACTCGGGGGCAAGTGCATCCAGCTGACGAGTCCTAAATAGGACGAAATGCTCATCCTGGATTCCATTGCTAGCCACTGCCCATCATTACTATACACAGACTAAAATTGAACTAAAATCTATCACAGTGCCCAAGTTTTACTCTTATATTAATGATCTACCTTGATTGACAAATGCATAGAAGTCAATCATCTTCTCAGCAGTCGAATGCTTAAGCATTTTCAGAAAATTCTCTTCTAAACTTTTGAATAAATTTTCTATGGTATCTATTCGCTCTAACAATCTTTTCAATAATGAATAACTTCTTCTTCAGTTTATGTCTTGAGGGTAATTTTCTAACTTTATTCCAGCATGTCCAATCGTTTCGGTGCAATCATTGACAAGTACTGACAGTATTACTACTTTTATACCGAAGGATATTTGAGTATCACAGTGAACATGTTGTCAGTAAAGTTAATAGTTCAAAACTCACAGGTCCCTAACCCTAACTACTTCGATCAATTCATGATTTGGATTGGTCATCATTCAATAAAATTGGTGAGTATTTCGGTTGGATGGCCAAATAATCAGATGATGAAGTTAGACGCGTCAAACTTGTTAACCGTTATGCTACAAGATGGGTCTGCTGCTAGTACTTCCAGTTTAATGATAGGGAGTAAAGGTATGGAATCAGCCCGAACAGGCTGGTTGCTGACAAAATCTGAGCTCCGATGCATCAGGCTCGTTCCCGTTTGGTATTTCCCAACATACGTTAACTGCGGCGCCAACTACCAAGGTATTCGACTATTTATCAGAGAACGAATTTACTACGCTGCAGTTCGTTCTGTCCTGTTGTACGGCTGTGAGATATGACTGGTAAAAGTAGAAGACATGAAATGGTTACAGGGTTTTAACCACAAATGTCTTGGAAGCATTACTCGCTTTTGGTGAAATCACCATGTGAACAATGATGAAGTCAGGTTAAGGATACTAGGCAAGAAAAGTAAGTCGGTTGGTGATGTTGTGAACCATCATAGATCGAGGCGGTTTGGACATGTTTTGCACATCCCTAGTCCTCGTTCACCTCGGCATATCGTGCTGGGTAAGGAAGTTGTAAGAGGGGTCACGATGATCAGACCAAGAAGGGGGTACCAGTTGACTGTTAGTGTAATCTGTATGAGAAGATGTAGACCACCCGATCGGGGTCTGTGAGACGAAATGAATCAGTGGATGAGGACTCAAGGCAACATGGCTGAAAACTAGTCACTGTGGCGTAAATGTATTCACTCCTTGATATCTTCTAAATCGTGAATATGTTCACTTATCTTTACCTTCAAATTGTTTATTCTCTCACGCAACTTTGTCTACTTTGATGCCAGTCTTTTTCTATCCATCTCTTCTTTGTGTCCTACAGTTAGGTAGGTCAGCTTGAGGTGATGCACTTGTGTGCAAGTTTTTACGTTGATTCGTCAATCAATCAATCAATCAAACCCTGTTAAGTTAGTCCCAAGATGTATGTCTTCTATAAGCATGATGCAGTTCTCCTGTCTCTCTCTCTTTTTCCCTCTCTCAATTTAAGATTTCTGCTCGGTCGTACACAACTAATTTGGATGGCTTCAACATGGGTCATACAACTTTTATCAGCATCGATAGCCCTTGAAATATGCAAATTCTGGTGGTCATTAAAAATAACTATTTATCAATCAGCACGTTATGAATTAGCTTTAAAGATGTTGGATCCTAAAAATTTGATAAATTATACTCCTGACTTGAATGTGACAGTATGGATTGGATTCCTTTGTGAAGCTATAGGAACTTTTTTAGACTTTTATCTTGTCACATTGTTTTCATGTGCTCTAAAATATTGGAATTCACGATCTATCAAGTATGATTCGGATACACTGACTACTACAAATGTAAACGGGGCAATAATCAACTCTCAAGTTTCATATTCTTGTAGTTTAACAAGAAAACAATTCTTAACTTCATTCATTCTAAGAACAATGATAAGTTTTATACTTACAGCCTATGGTAAGTTATATATTTTCTGATGTAATCAAGTTCGTTGATTATTGTATGTATAAATCAAGGGATAACTGCCAATTGATCGCATCCTTACATGGAATGTTCTCAGATGAAAGGATATTGATTATCGTCAGAGTAATTTTCTAATCCACTAACAACTAAACATTACTTCGATCATAAATGTGAGATACAGAAATACTTCAAAACTTGACTGTTTCGGCTTAACTACTGAATATTTCAGCTAATCCATCCAACCACTGGATAGTTTTTCAGTGGTTCACAATTTCTGACTTCTGTCAATTTACGAATATACCGTGACTATCACCCAAAGTCTTCAGTTGGCATCTACTTCCTTTCCGAGTGATTAATCTCACAGGTCACAGCTTCTCATTAGAATTTTATGATATCCACGAGTCGGAAGGGAAGTGGATGCTAACTGAAGACCTTGGAAATTGTGAATCACTGAAATCCGACCCAGTGATAGGATGATTAACGCTTTCGCTGTGAAACCTAAAGGTCCTGAGTTCAATCCATAGACAAGCAATGGGTGCGTACTGCTGAGGAGTCCTATGCTACGACGAAACAGCTGTCCCTATTCATCTTGAAAGTATACAAGTTTTTCACAACGGGGTAAGTAGGCAGGTACATTTAGTTGACAAGTTTCAAAATGGACGAAACACGAGTTCTGAATTCCATTGCTAGCCACTATCCTTCATTACTATCAACTGAAACCATCGGTTATTTGGAGGCAATATGAACTGACTGACTGTAGAAGGAACTAATTGAAGGGTATTCAGATGAAAACCTTAACATCATTTATCGTGTTAAACCGATCATGTATTGCAGTTGGTAAAAAGTGACCAGTGTCAATTTTCGCATTTGTTTCATTCTCATCTCATAGATTGTTCAGTTCGTAGACAACTAATTCAAGTTTAGAATAGAACCTTAACCCAGACAAGTGAACAGTATCTGTCACGTGAATAGTAATAGTTAATTTAACTTCTATAATGGTTTTGTCAAATGCATTTACAAGGGAAATCAGCCTCCAGAGAAAGGCGTTTATTGTGTTTTAAAGTATTTCTCAGATGTGACATTTCAGATTAACATGATCATTATCAACATTAACATGAGACAAGAGATTACTGCATAACAATCCAAGTTGTCACACATCACATCAAGTAACAAGACAATAAAACGGAAGATGAAGGGGGAAAGAAAATCAGTCAGAAGAAGTAGAAGGTAGTAAAAGAGAGGAGAGTGGAATGAGGAAATGATGAGATCAAGTATAACGGTTTACATGAGGATAATATATGTATACATCTGCTCCACTGACTTCGGTTCTGAGCTATATCATATACAGTCTCCAACCACTGGTTTCTCTTGTCCTGTGGACCCCAACTGGCTAGTCTGCATCACCCCACACAGCTCAAACCAACAGTGAACTACCTCATACACTGATGTCATGTTTTCTTCTGGCTGCCTGGAACCTTTTTCCAGCCTAACTTCCGAGTTACTCATGTGGTGACACCATGAAAAATGTCCTATTTTAAGAAGGCAACAGTGGTCAAACACCTGAAGCCTTCTCATGACTTCTACCTTTAATGTCCACGTTTCACAGCCATGCATCAGAACAGATGGAACTGCAGCACAGAAAACTCGATTCTTGATAGAGAATTAGGTATCACGGCGGCACTACAGATAACGTAAAGTGGAGAAAGCCAGTTAAGCCTTTAGTATGCGGACAGAGATTTCGTTGGTTACTGACCCATCAGTGTTGACCAAACCTTCCAGGTAAGAGAGGTGTTCAACGCAATCAATTACTTTCCTCCTAATTGTTAGCCGAGGCACCGCTGAATATCAGTCCTGGAGCAACAATTTTTTATTTGGGTAGCGAGAAAGGCATGCGAAAAATTCTCCCTTCAGATAAATGGCTGTAGGTAATTCTCCACTGAATTTTGCATACATATGTGTGTTTTAAGCTACACACGATTTAGTCACCAGTGAGTAACCAATTCAACTTTCCGGTTCTTAGAAGTTAACACTTACTACTCGAAGTCTATTGGTCATGTTTTACAAAGTGATCATTACGCTCAATGATGCTACAGTGTGTTGTACTGTGTTAAACAGTGGAAACCAATTGATAGGAGGCCTTGCTTGACCTATGTTTCGTCATTGTGGGATTCATCAGCAAGATATACATACCAACATGAGGGAACATATGTTCCCTTAATGATTCGAACAAGCACAGACGGTAACTTCTTGTCTGGTACCTTCCGTCTGACGTCAATATTGCTGACATGATGATCCTAACATACGCGAGTAATGCTACGAAGATATCCATGATCAAAACCTGTAACTGCTTCATATTTTTTGTTTATAACGGCCATATCTCACAGCATTATAGTAGGCTAGAACGAAGTGAAGTGCAAGGTACTCGTTCTTTGACAGATAGTTGGATATCCTATCAGTCAGTGGCAGAGATGACGCTGTATCCCAGCTGAAACTTCAACAGTGATGAACCAGGAGTAGTTTCGGACCATTCCTAGAGTATCAATCTACATTCAACAGTTGAGAAACCTATACCACACATAGATAGATTTCTGCTCAACTCATTCAAAAGACCCTATATTTTATCAGGATCTCCATCTAGCGGACAATGTGACTTGTATACTCCGAGTCAACCAAAGCTCTATACTGTCAGAGGTACATAAGTTTATGTTCATTAACACAACGGTGAGGATTTATCAGGTAGTAACCGACTAACTTGAGAGTGAATATTGCTTTTTTTCTCTTCTTTTCTGTATTATCTTAGGTCTTGGATGGACAGGAATGTATCTGAATCCAGCTAACGCTTTTATTCAATGCTGGAGAATTGGGAGTATTTCACCAATCAGTCATATAATTGTATATTGGCTTGGACCAATATTTGGTATTTGGTTATGTGTTATAGTTGAAAAATGGACTTATAAATTTCTATCAAAGACTAGATCTGAAGTCAGTTCTATAGATTATAAGGTAGACAATAACAATTGTACAAATGGTAACCACTATACTACAATAACAGAACCTATGAAAATGTCTTCCAAACTGAATTCAAAATCTCAAGATAAGATAAACATATCAGTCAATTTCATTAAAAATCATGATGAAACATTCTGTTCTCATCGTTTCAATCGAATGCCATCTGAAAGTTTAAAAGTAACCTAGTCGCGGTTACTTCAGAAATGTTCAACAATTACTTGAATGCTTTCATTTAAATGTTTTTCATTATGGCTGCCTTCTTACCTTTTAATATTTTTCATCATAAAATTCTATTTATTATTATTTGTCCCTTGGGCTCCTAGTGGAACATAGGGCTTCAGTAGCATGTTGCCATTTCACTCTCTTCTCTATGGTCTTCCAAACGTGGCTCCACAAATGCCCACAAGCTTTCATTTCTTCCTCACATCATCTCCTCCATGTCACCCTCCGACGCCCAACTAACTCGTCGTTTTCCGTTTGGATTCCACTCGACGGCCTGGTCTGTCACCTGATGTCCCAAGTCGGCCTTCTCAGTATATGCCCAATCCATCCCCACATCCTTTCAGTGCATATTTGTTCAGTGATAAGTTGTTAGTTGGTTCGTTGCTAGAGTTCCCTGTTGCTTATTCTTTCTCGCCTTTACATCTGATCTTCAGTATCGAGTGAGCATAGGCGGCAGCTGTTGATGAATATCTGTAGTTTGCTGGTTAACTAGTTCACTAGTTACTAGCGGGTCCTAAGCCCGGATAAAGAGGGAAGGTTGGGCATAGGGCTAGCAATCCTACCCCGTAAAACTAATCCAACGGCTAAAGAAACTTCAAACCACAAAGAAAATATAAAAACTTGATTAGCAGTTGAGATTAACTCAATAGTTGTTTAGTTATAAACAGGGATTGTTTTCTGGCGCCTACAGTTAATCTTTTCATAAGGAAATTACACTGAAAACAATTTGTATTCGTGAATTTACGTGTAGGGCACTAACTAAACTGATCAGATTCTTTGGTGAATCTGTAAACCTTCAACGGTGGAGAATATGTGCAGCTCATGTATATGGTATTGGTTGTATTGTTTTCTCTGAGCTGGGTTGTTTAATCATGCAGAAGCTTTCATCGTCTTTCTCCTAGACGGCATCATCAGCACTGACTTCACTATGAAGTAATGAGTAATTCAGTAGCCTGTCCTGACCAAATGGTTTGTGATTGGTTGTTCCCTTTGTTTGTTATGTTATTGCCTGTATCGATTTTCTTGTTGGTTGTTCCTCTGCTTGACCTCTCACCTTTCCCTCGTTTATTATTTTTCGTATTGGTTGATAGATTGGATCTATGTCTATACATCTATTGATTGCTGACTGACTGATCTGACCTGAATGCCAAGCTTCTAGGAATTCTCTGATGATGTTCTTTGTGTTTCCTCTCTCCATCCAAAATTTGTACATTGTCAAAATTGAATTCATGTCCATAGTTGTTATCCACGTTCATTGAAATAAGCAGCGATGAAATGTCGTGACGTTTAATAGCCAATTTGTGTTTATGTAGACGAAGGTGAAGAGGGTGACCACTTTGTCCATTGTAGTGTTCACTACAGTTATTTCAGTTGATTTTGTAAATGATATTCAGTTTGTTTTCTTTGGTTGTTGCGTCCTTTGATCTGCATAATAGTGTCTGGAGGAAATTTGTTCGTTTATGAGCCACACCAATAAACTAATAGCTGTTCCCTAGATCCTTGGTCGTTATGTTCCGTTCACTTAACTTCATCATGGACTGACATCAACTGAAAAACCATTAAAAACCCAGAAGGACTGCCCGGCTGTGACGACCTGGTATGGGACTCCTCAGCAGTATACACCAATGACTGCGTTAAACTTCGAACCCAGGCCTAGCATGTTACCAATGAGCCATTAGGTCGGGATCTGGTGGTCTAAACGTTCCCACTTCTGTCAGTTTGCAGGCAATATAGTGCGAGCTTCATCTAATGGTATCATTGCAATCATCTCTCAAAGCAAATCAAAAATGTTTCATCCTTGTGTGGGACTGCTGCTACAGCTATCTAGTCCACCCAGCTTTTCCACTGTTCACCAACTGATATCCGTCAGTCATGAATTATTATAATATTATTATTTATCCCTTGGGTTCCTAATGGAACATAGGGCTTCACTAACACGTCTCCATTCCAGTCTCTTCTCTGAAAACTTTTCAACCTGGCTACACGACAGCCCAGTAGCTCTCATTTCTTCCTCACACCATCTCCTTCATGTCACCCTCATCTCGGACACACAACTCGTCGTTTCCCCTGTAGATTCCACTCGAGTGCCCGGCCTGACGCGTGATGTCCCCAGTCGGCCTTCTCAGTGTATGCCCAATCCAATGCATCTCCACTTCCTTCCAGTGTATATTTGTTGAGCGATAGCTTTTGATCGGTTAGTTCCCAGAGTTCCTTGTCAGTCATGAATACCAACTTGAAATCAGCAGAATCCATATGAACCTTCTGATTGTATTTAAGTCAACTTGTAGTACTGACAAATTTAAAATGGAGGAAATTGAAGTGATTATAGTCTCTGGTATGGAGTTGTGGTTGATTGGTTCAAGCAGCTGACATTCAAGCAGAAGATTATGGGTTCTAACACCCCCCCTCCCACCCCACCTATCGGGGCTTTGGCAGTCAGACAGTATGATTATCTCTCGCACTTAAAGTAGGTACGGTTCATTGTCACCTACTGCACAAATGTGTACAAATTTACTGAGTGGATTTCGATTTGACAGTCACTAATTCAAATTCCATTTCGTAGATGTATTTGCCTTAAATATAGTTTTTTATAAAGGGAATTGCTTATTGAAAAGAATATTCTGTATTTCTATTGTCTTTCAACGGTATTCAGATATAAAATGGTAAGTCTTTTAGATGTATAAAACTTTGAAGATGGAGAGATTTGATTATGGAATTATCAATAATTTTACAAATATTGAAGTCAATATAAGAAAAAGATAATTATGAAATCACTTTTCAGAATAATTCAAAATTGCTAAGGTCACATACCTAAACATTAAATGACAGACCAACTCACTATCCCTCTAATATATATCAAATAACAGAAACATTTCTAGATAATTAGTGAGTTCATTTTGTAGTAACATACAATCTAGATAACAAGATAGATGGATAGACAAAATCTACGTGGAACCTTATACAGAAGTTTATTTGATAACTCAATGGGACAGTATTATTCAATGATGACATCAGTATTGATAAAATTATACTGTAACAGTTCCCAAGACAATGCACCTGATGCATTTGTGTTTAGCGTATAATTATTGATTATTAGCTATCATTTGGGTTCCTAATGGAACATACGGCTTCAGCGGTACGTCACCATTCCACTCTCTCCTCTCCAATCTTCTTAGCCTGGCTCCACCACTACCCATAACCTTTCATTTCTTCCCCACACCATCTCCTCCATGTCACCCTCACCTCAAACGCCCAACTCGTCGTTTCCCATTTCGTCTCCACTCAACGGACTGGCCTGGTGTTTGATATCCCCAGTCTATCTTCTCACTCTATGTCCAATCTAATCTAATCCAATCGAATCCAATCCATCTCCACTTTCTTCCTCTGCATATTGGTTGGATGATAGCTTCTTGCTTCATTTGTTGGTTCGTTGCCAGAACACACTTCCTCCTTGATTATTCTTTCTCGCCTCACCTTCTCATCTGGTCTGATCTGATCTGATCTTCAGTGTGGAGTGAGAGTAAGTGTAGGTGGCAGCTGTTCATGTATGATGTCAGCAGTTTATTTGGAATGCTTCTTGTGATGCGCCAAGTCTAACTCTCAACCATCACATGGAATGAAGGACTGACTTACTTGACTGAATTAATGTTTGAAATCCGGATGTTATTCACGCTTTATGCTGAGTGCAGTACAGTGGAGTGCAGTGGATCTCCATACTGGTTTCAGGCTAAAAAAGGCCTGTCTTGCTGTCTTTCCTATCCCGGCTTTCATGTCCTCATCTGTTCTGCCACCACCGATGGAGCTGCCTGTAGTTGACACAATGCTGCCTTGCCTAGGTAGGCGAAAGAGACAACTTCCTTCTGATTTATCCCCTTCATGGTGACTAGTGCTTGTTACTGTTGGTTTTTGGTTGGGTATCTTCATCACCTCTTTCGCCTTCTTCTCTACGTTCATCTAAAGGAAGTCCCATCTTCCTTGGCTGCCCTGCCTCTTCTGCCAACTTGTTAGTTCTCAACTGTAGATCTTCGAGCTTGTGCGACATAAAACATTAAACATAAATCGTTATCGGCGAAATGAAAATCTTCTTCTGGAGTCTCTTCATCAGTCCAGCCAGCGTATGTCCATCTTCTCACAGTTTCTTGCATTGTCCAGTCTAGTCCAGTGCAGTCCAGTCGACCACAATCACAAAGATCATGGGTGATAGTAGGCGGCAACCTTGTTTCACCTGTCAACCTGTTTTCACTTCGAAGGCATCACTCAGTTTTCCATTGTTAACCAGTTGGCATGTAGCATCATCATCAACACCATGTAGCTGCTGTTGAGTGAGGTTGGTAAAGGTATATGACAGTAGAACTGTAGTATTGAAGCAGCTGCCTGCCAAATTACTTCTCGGTTGACACCTCGATCGAAGGCTTTTTCAAAGTCGATGAAGTCGAGGTACAGAGTTGACTGCCATTCTATACTCTTTTCTATGATGATGCGTAGCGTTGCGATTTGATCCGTACATGATTTATTCTTCATGAAGCTAGCTAGCTTATTTTGGTCATAATTTTGAATCCAATTCATTTTTAAGTCTCTCCAGGATGATGTGGCCTAATATTTTGCTTGGGATGGACAGCAGGTTTAGTTTATAAAGGGACCTGAAAACCGATGTCAATAAGGAACTTCAACCAAGCAATCTATACCTCTCATACATCTAAAAACCAAGATTTAGAGACATTATGCACATGCTGCAGCTTCCTTTTGTCACCTTCAGCCATCTTCCAACCTAATCCATTTGCCTACACGTCAAACTAGGCAGTGGCTTGACGTGTGCAACCCGCTTCCATACCATCTCAGTCTATCACGCTTGAAAACTTTATCAACTGACTAAATGTCTTTACTCTTCGCTTAAACTTGAAATCACTGACATACTGATTCCACTACACGTGAGCAGTTCTGAGAGCATACCTTTGGGTACATTC